CGTACGTAGAGAGTGACGACCAGTAGTTGACTACAGTTACGTAGATAAGTTGCAGGCAAGCTTGATCAGCCATGTAGCAGTTGAGTTCGAGAGTGACGGCGAGAGAGAGAGAGAGAGAAAGAGAGAGAGAGAGAGAGAGATGAAAGTGTCTCTTGGTTTGTCGCAGATTGAGAGGCAGAGAGCTGATCTGTCCCTTCAGTTGGTCGAGCTCAACGATAGACTGGACGATGCCGACAGCGTCAGCGTGTCCCAGGTACGTGCGCAACCGGTCACCTAGTGTATGTGACTACCTAATGTATGTGGTCTCTCTAGGTGGCACTTTGCAGTTCTATAGGTACTATATGAACTTTCATTGAGATTAGACAATTGGACCTATTTATCTTCCTTTACAATCCTACGGGTGGCGCTTTTTAAGTTTTACCTTGTCTATCACGGATTAACAGATCCCCCATTTCCAGTACAAGGAGCAAATTGTCTCGTCATGATACTGCGCCCTTCCTAGTACAGGGTGACATCGTGACACCTTTCCTGTACATGGTGACACATCGTGACACCTTTCATGTACATGGTGACACATCGTGACACTCTCCTCTTTCCTAGTACACGGTGTCACCGCCCCCTTCCTAGTACAATATGACACATCGTGACACCTTCCCTGTACATGGTGACACATCGTGACACTATTGTTCCCCTGTTGTTCCCCCGCAGGTTGAGTTGAACAGGAAGCGTGACACTGAACTGTCCAAGCTGCGCAAACTGCTGGATGACATCCACGTCGAGAACGAGGAGAGCACAGTAGGCATGCGCCGTAAGCACTCGGACACAGTCGCCGAACTGAACGAGCAGATTGAGATGCTATCCAAGTCCAAGAACAAGTGAGCATGCATACGCGAGTGCGCCATCTAGCGGCGTCTCTAGTGCACGTGTCGAACTCGACCGAAAGGGCCGCATCGTTTTTCTATTCACCCCTTCCTCTTCCTTGTCTCTCTCTCTCTCTCTCTCTCTCTCTCTCTCTCTCTCTCTCTCTCTCTCTCTCTCTCTCTCTCTCTCTCTCTCTCTCTCTCTCTCTCTCTCTCTCTCTCTCTCTCTCTCTCTCTCTCTCTCTCTCTCTCTCTCTCTCTCTCT